TAATCTTGGTGGTCTGGCAGCAGAGGGTTTCAACGAGAACTGTTTGGTCTGATAAATTAATGCTGTTGAATCAGAGATTATTTTGTTTGTTTTGGTAACCAGGCTGTTGGTGGGATCTCTTTTTATTTTGGTATAGCTGCCATCGTTGAGTAGTTCTTGAATTTTGTTGTTATATTCTGTTTTGTCCATGATGACAGTGGCATTGCCCTTGTCGGCTGAGAGGATGACAATATCACGTCTCTTTTTTAATTGAGATAATTCAAAGCGTTCATCTTTGCTGATGTTGCTGGGTGGCAACTTAGCGTTTTTTAGGGTTGCAGCGATTTCAGATCTTGCTACGTCTGCAGAGATGTGACTCAAGCCCTTGAGTGCAACGTCGACATGGGCAATGATATCATTAACCGGTATGTGTCTCGGTGCGACAGCAAAGTTTAGACCTTTAGCTAAAACGGATTTCAGACCATCAGAAATGGAACTGTTACTGCGATTAATTACGACTTTGTTGACGTCTAACTTTTTGGTGTGTTGATCCGATTTTTTGTTGGAGAAGTGATTGAAATTGGAAATCAAATTGTCCCTACATTTGGTCGACATAGTGGCAGCCGAAGAGGTAGTCATATTGTCTACATGTTCCCAATCCGATGTAGATATTGTTGTTGTCAATGTTAAGTGTGATTTGTAGAGTGTCTTGTCTAACTGATCGAGTTCAGTGCGTGTAAGTCTGATTTTTTCCGAGATAAGAGCGAAGCTAGTTCTAGCTAGAATTCGTTTTGCATTGAGAGAAGTTGCAGCAGCAGAGGTTAGTGTAAATACGGTTGGTATTACCTTAGAGTCGCGGCATCTCTTCAGAAAGGTGAGAGACTCGATTAGTTGAGCCTTCTTATTCCGGAGTCTGTTGAATGATCTTAAGGTTGTGTGGAATCCCTCCCCGTAGAGGCGGTTAAATTTCGATTTAAAACTTTCGTGACTGCAAGGATTCATCTTCTTTGGTTCTTTCCGTAAAGTCATGTAGAATGTGAATAAAATGATAAATTGATCAATTAAAATAACACGATAAAATTCTCACGACGTTTCGACCACAACACAAGCGGCCTTCATCAGGTGAAGGGACGAGACTGTCTGGAGGACAGCGCTGGAGCGAACAAAGCCACGCTCAGATCGCGACCTTTAAGCTGTGTGAGACGAAACAAAGTGCCTTGACAAAGGAATTAGCATAGAATTTAGCATTGAAATAGCTGAGTGATTAGCTTGTGACTGGTCACAGAAATGGCTATGTTAAAGTCAAAGTATACACATTCACAGAGGCACCTAGTACAAATCAAACACTTTAGTCATCTGGCCACATGACCAGCCTGCTCTAGACCAATTCTGCGACCACATCAATTCCATACACCCAGCCATCAGATTTACCATGGAGGTCGAAAAACATGGCAAACTACCCTTTTTCGATGTCTTAATTATAAGGAGACATGATGGTTCAATGAGCCACTCTGTCTACAAGAAAGCTACCCATACAGATGCTTACTTGAAATCGGATTTCCAGCACCATCCATCCCAGAAGAACTCCCTCATCAAGACTCTATACCATAGAGCCCAATGCATTTCCGACCAGGAACACATTACCAGTGAACTCAAGCACGTACACCAGGCTCTCAGGGCTAATGGTTACTCCGACTATACAATCCGCAAAGCCATCACTCCAGTCATGAAGAAGGATCCTCTTGTGGAGCCATTCAAAACCGATTCAACATAGTACATAATATCCGTGATCTGGTTCCATCTGTAAAAGATGCTCTTCCAGACATACAGTACCCAGTCGTTTACAAACTAAAGTGCCTCTGCGGTAGTAGCTACATTGGAGAAACCAAACGACATATCTCGGACCGCATCCGTGAACATAAAGCAGACTTGAAACACGGTAGAACGAACTCCTCTGCCGTGGCAGATCACTGTTATAATTCAGTGGGCTCACATGACATTGACTTTAACCAAGACGGAGGTTCTTTGCAAGCAAACCGGCTACCATGAGAGATTCGTTCATGAGGCCATTCACATATACAAGCACAGAGACAATTTCAACCGAGAAGATGGATTCTGGCTTAGCAACCATTGGAAATATGTTTTAAACCATTTCCGTTCTTAATTAATCGTATTTTACGATGACCTTCAGACCGCAGCTCTTTCGCTGGCATTGACTCTTAATGCCTCACACCACGGTTAATGGTATGGTTTACAACAAGGAGTATAACAGCGCCTCGCAGCTGTCTCTCTCCCCCTCCTCCGTTTCGACCATGGATGAACTCGCCCGTCTGAACGGGCCTCGTAGCTATCCGTGGTACTAAAGTTGAGGGTAAGAATCCACCCATTTTTTCGCCATAGAGCATTGTGATATATAACGACTTATTGTTGGTAGCTTAGCTGATTGCAGAATATATAGTTTATTGATGACATTGAGGTAATTTATATTTTAGTTTTGTATTGGTTTACTAGAGAGTATTCATTATATAGTGTAGTGTATACCCAGTTACTGTTAATATCTCAGATGTTTAGGCTTTGACTTTAACATAGCCATTTCTGTGACCAGTCACAAGCTAATCACTCAGTTATTTCAATGCTAAATTCTCCTAGTTATTTCAATGCTAAATTCTCCTGTTTGATTTGTACTAGGTGCCTCTGTGAATGTGTATGCGTTGACTTTAACATAGCCATTTCTGTGACCAGTCACAAGCTAATCACTCAGCTATTTCAATGCTAAATTCTATGCTAATTCCTGTGTCAAGGTGCTCTGTTTCTTCTCACACAGCTTAAAGGTCGCGATCTGAGCTTGGCTTTGTTCGCTCCAGCGCTGTCCTCCAGACAGTCTCGTCCCTTCACCTGATGAAGGCCGCTTGTGTTGTGGCCGAAACGTCGTGAGAATTTTATTGTTATTTTATTTCATCAATTTATTATTTTTTTCTCATTCTACGTGACTTTACCGAACGAACCAAAGAAGTAGTTTGTTAAAGTTAGGGGTAGGGCGAGAGTTATTTTAGCCTGTGCATACTTGGCCGAGCCAGGCCACACGATAATTGTCTGTCGTGTTCAGTGCTGTCAGTCTTATTCTTCAACGCGTTTGTCCCCATAGTGGGGTCCGCTGTCCTTGCCAACCTTCTCAAATGCTGCCCTGTCCTGCGCCATCTCTCTTTCCGTTCCATGGGCTACCATGTCTGATCACACCACATCACCCCACTCCTTTCACTACGCAGTCTGTCACCAGTCTGTTGGCCAGTCACACACTCTCCAGGAATCACTTTACAGTTCTTCACTCCTTTCAGGTGCTTCCTCCTCACCAGATAGAAATCTATCTGGCTCTTTACCTCTACTCTCATAGGTCATCAAATATACCTCCTGCTTCTGGAAGTAGGTATTCTCCACTGCAATATCATTTCCCTGGGCCATTCGAAGAATGTTCTTTCCTCCCTCATTGCTACTGCCATATCAGCATCCTCCATGGTTCCTTTCATATCCGTCCTTACTTCTTCCCACTCTTCCATTTAAATCTTCACCCATCACCAATGCTTTTTCTTTCGGTAAGCTCTGAAACTCCAAGTCTAAGCTCTCCCATAATGCATCCTTCTCTTGACCTCCGCAGCCCATCTGCGGGCCATATGCACTCACCACATTCACAACCCCCGCTTTCCAATACCAGGCTGACTATCATCAGTCTGTCATTCACTCTTTTGACTTCCACCACCTTCGTCTTCATCTTCTTACTCGGCAAAACTCCAACCCCATTTATCCTTGCTGTTGTTCCATGGTATAACAACCACAGCAAATCTCGTTCGCTCTGCTGCCTTTCCATTTTGCTTCCTGGATGCATGCGATGTCGACTTTCCTCCTCCTCAAGCAGTCCACTAATTTCTGACATTTTCCCATCATTGTTCCAATATTCCATGTAGCCAACCTTATCTTCCTCTCGAACAACCTTCTGCTCTTTCCATTTTGGTTTGTCCGTCTTAATATGTGCAGACAACGTAACTACCACCGCCCAGGTTTCTACACTCCCTGCAGTGGCGGCAGAGTCATTAAGTTCCGGGATTCTTTGCACCCTCTGCCCACTTAAGGGCTGCAGGGGACTGAGGCCCATTTGTTTGCAAGGACTTTCCATGTTTTGGCTTTAGGGTTTTACGGCCGGTTGCCATCAGATGCTAACCCTCCTCCTTGGTTAGAGGACAGTCCTCCACAATCTGGTTAGAGGACAATCCTCCACAATATGTAGTGTAGAATTGAGGGCCAAACTGCATACATGGGAGTGAATGGACTCGGAGGGCATGTTTGTTATGTGGTGCAGTATTCTAGCACTGCCTTAGCCTGAACAAACTAAGCCCTGAGACTTATCTTATCCTAGTCTAAAATGTGGTACTTTGACTTGCCCCCCTTTTCACTTTTTGATTGCTTTTCACGTTTTGTTAACGGTTCTACTGAGTGACACAACCGTTCAATTGTGTTGAAACATTGCACGGTGCCGATTTTAATACGTTTGAATTTGTGATGTTTGCAGGTGTCCCTGGCAAGAGAGGAAAAAGTTGTCGGTAAGTTTGAATTTTTATTGCTACGGTCTGTTGATTGATTTATTTTATTTGTTTTCCTGGGTAAGAACATCCAAGTGCAGCTGAATGACTTTTTGATTTTTTTATTATTATATTAAGTTCTAGGGAAGGAAGCAGAAAATTTAATATTTAAAATTACAAAATACAACTATGCTTTTTATTCGGCCGTGTTAAACTTTAATGTGGTGCGTGTTTTTATAGTTGTACCTGCATACCACTGCCGATATAGATGCTCTATGCGCAGCGCCTCCTTTTTCAGTCTAATGCTGGATTAAGGCTCCCCCATGCCATGTGGTTTGTGGAAGTTATTTGGCCACACTTCACCGCAAAGGACCATTTCTAGTCCTAGTTCGCCAACATATGAGACGTCATGCAAAATTCTAATGAGTGTTGTTGTGGAGAATGTATCTACTAGATGTGCTCTGCCTTGTAACCGAATACAAATCTGTACCAAAAATGCATTTCAAATGTGCTCTTAAAATTACTTCCTTGCTATGAAGCAGATCAGCAGATGCGACATCTTTCATTTATCGATCTCTGCACGAAACAAAGGAATGTTTTACACAAACTATAACTAGCACAGCCTTCTGGGAGTGCATCATTGATACAGTGCAAGCCACCTGTGGACTCTTATTGGTGCACAGCGTCTCAAAAGCAGCCGGGCTGCTTCAACCGATAGTTTCGAACATCCAGATGTTAATCAGCAAGGAGCATTTCTAGTCCTAGTTAGACAAAATCTACGTCAACACGTAATACAAAATTATAATTCGTGTTGTAGAGAATGATTCTCCTCTACGTGTAACTTTTGAGTGGTATGCCTTGTAACTGATTAATGATCCGAGTGTGCTCCTTATTTCAAAGACAGTGAGGTGCTCCAGAGGGAGATGCTTCCTGAAAACACAAAAATACCCTTTGACCTGTATAACAAGAACAATGAGTCTCACCTGAGTTATTTGTACAGGTTACTTCCAAAACACACACTTTGTCCTAACATCACTTATTCAATGTTTGACTCTTATAGACAAAATGTTACATGTATGCACACAATCAGACAAGTATGAATTCTAAATTATTGAGTCGTTTTAACAAAATGTTATTACTGCACTGAAATATACTGTATCAGGTTACATCGTATTAACAAGATATTTTAAAAAATACGCACCGTCTGCTTAACAGTGTATGTACAACAGCTGCTACTGCTACTTGGGGATGCTCTTCGAGTGTTTGAGACGAGATACGATACAAGACTCCGAATTGCCAGAGGCGATTAAGCAAGCACCATATAAATGCAATTGATAACATAGTCAATGCTTGGGAGCTTATTGGCTCTCGCTCCTGGTTAGAGATCTACGCAACCCACAGGTCCACAAAGACTTGCCGCTCTAACCCTGCAGGTTGAACCAAGGAATTCATTCTTGTCGTTAAAGGCCTGTGACAAAGGTGCATCCATTGGAGCAACATCGTCTCAAGCTTACACATCTACCGGGTCTCCATTTGACTTTGTATTGTCTCGGAGGAAGTGCACCCACACCTCCACTTCCACAAACTGCTGGGAGTTGCCTCCCTCTGCCTCACAGTCAGAATTCTCCTCCTGCTTCACGTTGCCTCCATCGATGTGAAGGTCCGATTTTGGAGTTGAAACTTCAACTTCACATTTTCCCTTCACTTCTTCGCTCTTCACCATCACTTCTTCACGTTACACCTTCACCTCTTCATGTTTCACTTCGATACCTTTAAAAGTGTCCAATCTGGGATTTTCTTCCGGTTGCTTCATGAGGGATGGGCTCATTGCGGCACTTTGACTTTCACAAGCTGATTTCAGACTCCACTCCTTGTGGATCTTCTGATGCTTTTGAGTTATCTGGTGTCTTTGAAGATTTGATGAATGTGCAAACGCCTTCCCACACACACTGCACTTGCAGAGTTTCTCTCCTGTGTGTGTTCTCTGGTGTGTTACAAGAGTAGATGACTGTGCAAACGCCTTCCCACACACATTGCACTTGAAGGGTTCCTCTCCTGTGCGAGTTCTCTGGTGTGTTACAAGAGCAGATGACTGTGCACACGCCTTCCCACACACACTGCACTTGAAGGGTTTCTCTCCTGTGTGTGTTCTCTGGTGCTGCGTCAAATTTCCAGTACTATCCGTGCTGTTTGCACGCCGGTCGCATTGTTGCCTTTTTGCACCGAGCTGCGCCGAGTGCCTTTTTCTGCAGAGGAAGCGACAGCTGCAGATAGAAAAAAAAGAATATCCACACCATCTACAGGTCAGTATCGATGCACAGAGGAATGCATATACACAGTCACACGTGACTTACATGTCTATACGTATTCATATATTCATGATATAGTGAAAAAGTGTCCCAAATTCATGACATGGGCTGTAATGGCACACAATGAGGGCAAATTGTCATAAACGTGCCTGGAAGCCCTAGAATCTTCAAAATGAATGTTAACCCAAAACCCCGAGCACACAATTTCGGCTGTCTGGCTTCAAAAGGAATATTTATTAAAGCTAAATTCAGCGGACATAGAAATGCATAAATTAATGTTCAATCGCAACTTAGAGGTGTGAAGCCAGGCACAGATGTCCTTGAATGCTGGGATGAACAGTTCCGACTTCAGCTGCACGTGTGCTGTGATAACTTCCTGACTCCATTCTTACAAAGAGTTGCAGAGGAAAACAAAAATAAACTACTGTTTTGATATAACCTCGGTGCTCAATAGAGTTAATAGACTTTACTGCAAATACAAACTTGACCCTGTCACACACTCAGAGGTGGAGCCAGGATTTTCAGGTAGGGGGGCAACCCCTCCAGCAATGAAAAATGATAGGAGTTATTAGTAAGGAGTTGTTAGTAAGGAGTTGTTAGTAAGGACTTGTCCTATACTTTTTATTCGACGCGTGTGATAGGCATCGCGCTCGCTGAAGGTGTTTGCCATCAGGGAAGTCATATTCTTGGTTCTTTCGGTATTCTAGATTTAAAGCTTTCGTGATTGCTAGGATCCATACTCTTTGGTTCTATTGGGTAAAGTCACGTAGGTGAAAATAAAATAACAAAAAAATAACAAAAAATCACGACGTTTCGGCCACAACACAAGCGGCCTTCATCAGGTGAAGGGACGAGACTCTCTGGAGGACAGCGCTGGAGTGGAAGAAGCCACGCTCAGATCACGACCTTTAAGCTGTGTGAGAAGAAAAACACCAAGCGCCTTGACAAAGGAATTAGCATATAATTTAGCATTGAAATGGCTCATTGAAATAGCTAAGTTAAAGTATACACATCCGCAGAGGTACCCCTTGACAAAGGAATTAGCATACAATATAGCATTGAAATAGCTGAGTGATTAGCTTGTAACTAATCACAGAAAGAGCTATGTTAAAGTTAGAGCATATACATTCACCGAGGCACCTAGTACTCATCAAACAGGAGAATTTAGCGAAACACAACCACGCTCAGACAACGGACCTTTAAACTGTGTGCGAGCAAACAAGGTGTTCTGACAAAGAAATTAGCATAAAAATTAGCATTTGATTGGCGGATTTTCGGAAAGAGGTGGTGTACGTGCCGGTGGACTTGATCTGAGCGTGGCTTCTTCCACTCCAGCGCTGTCCTCCAGACAGTCTCGTCCCTTCACCTGATGAAGGCCGCTTGTGTTGTGGCCAAAACGTCGTGATTTTTTGTTATTTTATTTTCACCTACGTGACTTTACCCAATAGAACCAAACAGTATCTTTCGGTATTATTTTATTGTTTCCCTTCTACGTGACTTTACCAAAAGAACCAAGAATTCGAATCCCTGCAGTCACGAAAGCTTTAAATCAGGGAAGTCGTGTACTGTATACGCAACTGTGCACAATTCTGTGAGTCCCTTGTAACAGCGTTGCCGTTAATTATTGCCAATTATGGACTCGGACTGTTGTCCTCTCATAGAGTCCCTGGCACGTAATAATATGCCACACGGTGGCAGGGGGGGGGGGGGGGTCGCAAAATGTTGATTTATCTATATTTATAAAAGGGAAATGTGTGGATATGTCTGTTCGAAAGTGTTTTGCATACTTCCCAACATGCAACACACTTGAATTTTGGCATGTGGCTAGGTTCCACACTGTACACAATGAAAAAAGTATAAAAATAGACTTTTGTATTTTGTATGACCATGAAGTTTGTGGCGTCAACCCGCAACACACCTGAGTTAAGCGCTCAGCAATGCTTACCCCTACCATATGGATCTTTGCGCGCCGTAATTCTAGAGCTGTTAACAGTGTGCCGGGAGATTTTAGGTGGCGCGTCGCTCCTGGCCGATGAAGCCATTGGCTTCTTGGAGTTTCAAAACATATCCGTGCAAAGAACGGGTACAACTGCTATCTTAAATATAAAGCAGAAATAACATGTTTGCGTGAAGCAGCAAAAACTCTCCAACGCTGAGCTCTGGAGTCATGAAATTTTCACAGCTTATGCTGTCTGGAATTTCTAAGTGAACGTCATTGCCTTCCCGAGTTGCAAGTGGAATAAGTTTGAATATCCTTGAGCAAAAACATCCGATTTAGGTAAATTGATGTGTTTCGGCTTTTGTCTTTCTTGCAAGCATCAATTTTTTTTAGGGATTTTCAGTGAAAGATAAGGAAATATGAAATTAGAAATATATCCAAGACAAGAATCCAAGTCCCGGGCAAAGCTGGGTAGTGAAGCTAGTTACTAATAAACCCCAATGATCCTATTGAAATTAGGGATTTCGATCAGATCGTTGGGGGGAGGCACGTGCCACCCCACCCCCACTGGCGCCACCACTGTCACACACTGGCATGGTTCACAGGTGGTGGTGTGTCCAGACCCACGCCTGGCCACATTCACCTGCTCAGTATTCATGCTTCCTCAATCCACCAAGTAATTCATGGAGGATCAATCAACACAGCCGAGGCTGCGTGTCTCTCTCTCTCTCCCCGTGGTCGCATGGATTTCCTTCCCGATCCCCCAGTTTCCCCTCCACATGTAGAGAGTGAACACCGCCACGCGTTTAGAGTGAACACCGCCACGCGTCCAGAGTGAACACCGCCATGCGTCGAGAGTGAACACGGCCACGCGTCTAGAGTTAACACCGCCACGCGTCCAGAGTGAACACCGCCACGCGTCTAGAGTGAACACCGCCATGCATCTGGGTCAAAATTGATCATATTCTAAACATTACCTATGAACTCCACAACTGAGATGCTGGTGAGAGAGGCCTGCTGTTCAACACACTCGTGCTGGTGAGAGGGGCCTGCTGTTCAGCACACCCGTGCTGGTGAGAGAGGCCTGCTGTTCAGCACACCCGTGTTGAGGGGCCTGCTGTTCAGCACACCCGTGCTGGTGAGAGGGGCCTGCTGTTCAGCACACCTGCGCTGGTGAGAGAGGCCTGCTGTTGAGGGGCCTGCTGTTCAGCACACCCGTGCTGGTGAGAGAGGCCTGCTGTTCAGCACACCCGTGCTGGTGAGAGGGGCCTGCTGTTCATCACATCTGTGCTGGTGAGAGAGGCCTGCTGTTCAGCACACCCGTGTTGAGGGGCCTGCTGTTCAGCACACCCGTGCTGGTGAGAGGGGCCTGCTGTTGAGGGGCCTGCTGTTCAGCACACCTGCGCTGGTGAGAGAGGCCTGCTGTTGAGGGGCCTGCTGTTCAGCACACCCGTGCTGGTGAGAGAGGCCTGCTGTTCAGCACACCCGTGATGGTGAGAGAGGCCTGCTGTTCAGCACACCCGTGCTGGTGAGAGAGGCCTGCTGTTCAGCACACCCGTGTTGAGGGGTCTGCGGTTCAGCACACCCGTGCTGGTGAAAGGGGCCTGCTGTTGAGAGGCCTGCTGTTCAGCACACCTGTGCTGGTGAGAGAGGCCTGCTGTTGAGGGGCCTGCTGTTCAGCACACCTGCGCTGGTGAGAGAGGCCTGCTGTTGAGGGGTCTGCTGTTCAGCACACCCGTGCTGGTGAGAGAGGCCTGCTGTTCAGCACACCCGTGTTGAGGGGCCTACTGTTCAGCACACCCGTGCTGGTGAGAGGGGCCTGCTGTTCAACACACCCGTGCTGGTGATAGGGGCCTGCTGTTCAGCACACCCGTGCTGGTGAGAGAAGGTTACTGTTCATCACACCTGTGCTGGTGAGAGGGGCCTGCTGTTCATCACACCCGTGTTGGTGAGAGGGGCCTGCTGTTCAGCACACCCGTGCTGGTGAGAGGGGCCTGCTGTTCAACACACCCGTGCTGGTGAGAGAGGCCTACTATTCATCACACCCGTGCTGGTGAGAGGGGCGTGCTGTTCATCACACCCGTGTTGGTGAGAGGGGCCTGCTGTTCACCACTCCCGTGCTGGTGAGAGGCCTACTGTTCATCACACCCGTGCTGGTGAGAGGAGCCTACTGTTCAACACACCAGTGCTGGTGAGAGAGTCCTGCTGTTCAGCACACCCGTGCTGGTGCGAAGATGGCGCCGATGATAGTAGCCTCAGCCGGTCGGTGCGCCCTGTTTTGTCTTGTTTTGTCTGTCAATTCAGTGTTTTGCCAAGATTTTCGGAATTCCCTAACAAGAGACGAACTTTTAAATCAGCGAAACAACTCCTGTGGATTTAATTCCTACTTTTCTGCTTGCAGCGGCAGAATTAATAGGCATTCTAGTCAATGCCGCGCTAGGCTTTGCTCAAGCTGCGAAACGCCGCCCAAGGGGTAAACGGTCGGGGGCTCTAGTACGGCTACGCAGACGCGGGATCCGAACAGTGCTTCCGAGCTTTTTCCTCTCCAACGTACGTTCACTGTACAACAAAATGGATGAACTTCAGGTACTGATGGTAAAAAACAAAGACTTTCTTTCAGCTTCTGTTTTGTGCTTCACGGAAACATGGCTGTGTGATTTGATTCCGGACACTTCGCTACAACTAGCAGGATTCCATCTTGTAAGATCGGATCGTGACATAGCACTCTCCGGCAAGACGAAAGGCGGTGGTATTTGTTTTTGCATTAACAGTGGCTGGTGTGTAGATGTCACAGTGATTCTGCAACATTGTTCTCCACTCCTTGAATCAATTTTTATAACCTGTAAACCGTTATACTCGCCTCGCGAGTATAACGGAGTTTATTTGCCGCCTTGTCCTCAGGTTAAAGAGGCTCAACGCATGCTCGCTGATCAGATTCTGAGTGTGGAGCGAGCAAATCCAGATTCGTTGGTTATCGTACTTGGCGACTTTAACAAAGGTAATCTCAGCCACGAACTCCCCAAATACATACAATTCATTAAATGCGCAACCAGAGAAGGGAACACTCTGGATCACTGCTACACTACAGTCAGTAGAGCCTACCACGCCGTCCCCCGAGCAGCACTAGGACACTCTGACCATGCCATGGTCCACCTGATTCCTGCATACAGGCAGAAACTAAAACTCTGTAAACCTGCTGTGAGGACATCTAAACAGTGGACCAGTGAGGCTGTGGAAGATTTGCCGGCGTGCTTAGACTGTACTGACTGGGATATGTTCAAGACTGCTACCAATAGTCTGGATGAACTCACAGAGGCTGTGACGTCCTACATCATCTTCTGTGAGGACTGCTGTATCCCAACACGTACCAGGGTGAACTTTAACAACAATAAGCCCTGGTTCTCAGCAAAGCTCAGAAGGTTGAGGTTGGAGAAGGAGGAAGCGTTTAGGAGTGGGGATAGAGACAGATTCAAGGAGTCGAAGAACAGGTTTAGCAAAGCGGTGAGAGAGGCTAAACGACTGTACTCAGAGAGACTAATACACCAGTTCTCTACTAACGACGACGCTGCTTCTGTCTGAAGAGGGCTCGGGCAGATCACCAACTACAAACCCAGAGCCCCCCACACCACTAACGACTCCCGCATAGCCAACGACCTGAACGAGTTCTACTGTAGATTTGAAAGACAATTGGACTGCCTGAACCACCCCTTCCCACCCAAGAGGCCCACCCCCCACCCATACTACAGAGACGACTCTCTCCTTTCAGGAGGGAGAAGTTAATAGACTTTTCAAGAGGCAGAATCCACGCAAAGCAGCCGGGCCGGACTCCGTCTCTCCAGCCACCCTCAGGCACTGCGCTGACCAGCTGTCTCCGGTGTTCACCTACATCTTTAACACCTCCGTGGAGACATACCATGTACCAGCCTGTCTCAAGTCCTCCACCATCATCCCTGTGCCCAAAAAGCTAAGGCCAACAGGACTAAATGATTACAGACCGGTTGCCCTTACATCTGTGGTAATGGAGTCTTTTGAGCGCCTGGTCCTGGCACACCTCAAAGCCATCACAGACCCTCTCCTGGACCCCCTTCAGTTTGTCTACAGAGCCAACAGGTCTGTGGACGACGCAGTTAACATGGCCCTCCACTTCACCCTACAGCATCTGGATGCCCCAGCATCCTACGCCAGGATCCTGTTTGTGGACTTCAGCTCTGCCTTCAACACCATCATCCCTGCCCTGCTTCAGGACAAGCTCTTCCAGCTGAACGTGCCCTACACCACCTGTAAATGGATCACAGACTTCCTGTCTGACAGGAAGCAGTGCGTTAAGCTGGGAACACAAATCTCTGACTCCGGGTCCATCAGCACCGGAACTCCTCAGGGCTGCGTCCTTTCCCCACTGCTCTTCTCCCTGTATACCAACAACTGCACCTCCAATCATCTGTCCGTCAAACTCTTGAAGTTTGCGGACGACACCACCCTCATTGGGCTGATCTCTGGTGGGGATGAGTCTGACTATAGGTGGGAAGCTGACAACCTGGTGACCTGGTGTAGCCAGAACAACTTAGAGCTAAATGCTCTAAAGACAGTTGAGATGGTTGTGGACTTCAGGAAGAATACAGCCCCACTCACCCCCATCACCCTGTTAGACTCCCCAGTCAAAATTGTAGAGTCCTTCTGCTTCCTGGGCACTATTCTCTCCCAGGACCTCAAGTGGGAACTGAACATCAGCTCCCTCACCAAGAGAGCTCAACAGAGGATGTACTTTCTACGGCAGCTGAAGAAATTCAACCTGCCAAAGACAATGATGGTGCAATTCTATACAGCGATCATTGAATCCATCCTCACCTCCTCCATAACCGTCTGGTACGCTGCTGCCACTGCCAAGGACAAGAGCAGACTGCAGCGTATCATCCACACTGCTGAGAAGGTAATTGCCTGTAATCTACCAACCCTCGAGGACCTGCACACGACAAGGACCATGAGGCGAGCGAGGAAGATTATGGCCGATTCATCCCACCCTGGACACTCTCTGTTTCAGCTACTCCCCTCCGGCAGAAGGCTTCGGTCCATCAGGACCAAAACCTCACGCCATAAAAACAGTTTCTTCCCATCTGCTGCTGGCCTGTTAAACAAGGCCAAGGGCTTAGACTGATTTTAACATTTTATCTACATAATGACACCTTGCCGATATTAACTATGTTAACCTATTTGTATTTTTTATTTTTAAATTATATCTTAAAGCTATTTTATATTCGATATTTATTCAATTTTATATACTTCAGCCCCTTGGTGTTAGTTAGACTTTTAACCCTTATTATTATAGTAAGACTTGTTTAAAACTTATTTAAAATTTTAGATTCCTATATGTTGAATGTATGCACCATCCTGCCAAAGTAAATTCCGTGTCTGTGTGAACTTTCATGGCGAATAAAACCCCCTTTCTGATTCTGATTTCTTTCTGACATCAACCATCGCCCCCTACTGACAGGCTCTTGTCCACATGCAGGCCGGTGCAGGGCCACCACACCTTGTGCCACACAGGGGCAGCTGCTACTTGTGGATGCTCGAGTGTTTGAGACGAGATACGATACAAAACTCCGAATTACCAGAGGCGATTAAGCAAGCACCATATAAATGGAATTATTAGAACCTTGTTAATGCTTGGGAGCTTATTGGCTCTCGCTCCTGGTTAGAGATCTACCCAACCCACAGGTCCACAAAGACTGGCTGCTCTTATCCTGCAGGTTGCACCTGCAGGATAAGAGAAGCGACATCGTCTCAAGCTTACACATCTACCGGGTCTCCATTTGACCTTGTATTGTCTCGGAGGAAGTCCACCCACACCTCCACTTCCACAAACTGCTGGGAGTTGCCTCGCTCTGCCTCACAGTCAGAATTCTCCTCCTGCTTCACGTTGCCTCCATCAATGTGAAGGTCCGATTTTGGAGTTGAATCTTCATCTTCACATTTTACCCTCACTTCTTGGCTCTTCACCATCACTTCTTCACATTTCACCTTCACCTCTTCATATTTCACCTCGATACCTTTAAAAGTGTCCAAGCTGGGATTTTCTTCCGGTTCTTGTTTCATGAGGGATGGGCTCATTGCGGCACTTTGACTTTCACAAGCTGATTTCAGACTCCACTCCTTGTAGATCTTCAGATGCTTGTGAGTTCTCTGGTGAACATGAAGATTTGGTGACTGTGCAAACGCCTTCCCACACACACTGCACTTGAAGGGTTTATCTCCCGTGTGAGTTCTCTGGTGTACTTGAAGATTTGGTGACTGTGAAAATGCCTTCCCACACACACTGCACTTGAAGGGTTTCTCCCCTGTGTGAGCTCTCTGGTGTGCTGCAAGAGCAGATGACTGTGCAAACGCCTTCCCACACACACTGCACTTGAAGGGTTTCTCTCCCGTGTGTGTTCTCTGGTGCGTTACAAGAGCAGATGACTGTGAATACGCCTCCCCACACACACTGCACTTGAAGGGTTTCTCTCCCGTGTGAGTTCTCTGGTGTTTTTTAAGAGCAGATGAATCTGAAAACGTCTTCCCACACACACTGCACTTGAAGGGTTTCTCTCCCGTGTGAGTTCTCTGGTGTTTTTTAAGAGCAGATGAATCTGAAAACGCCTTCCCACACACACTGCACTTGAAGGGTTTCTCTCCCGTGTGTGTTCTCTGGTGTGCTACAAGATTAAATGAACGTGCAAACGCCTTCCCACACACACCGCACTTGAAGGGTCTCTCTCCTGTGTGAGTTATTTGGTGTCTTACAAGAAGAGATGAATGTGTAAACGCCTTCCCACACACATTGCACTTGAAGGGTTTCTCTCCTGTGTGAGTTCTTTGGTGCCGTGTCAAATTTCCATTACGATCCGTGTTGTTTCCATGCCGGTCAGATTGTTGCCCTTTTGCACCGAGCTGCGCCGAGTCCCTTTGCTCCATCAGACAAATTCTGCAGAGGAAGCGACAGCTGCAGACAGAAAAAAAGAATATCCACACCATCTACACGTCAGTATTGATGCACAGACGAATGCATATACACAGTCACAGGTGACTTACACATCTATACTTATTCATATATTCATGTTATAGTGAAAAAGTGTCCCAAATTCATCAAATGGGCTGTTATGGCAAATAATGAGAGGGCAAATGCCCTCGCATCTTCAAAATGAATGTTAACCCAAAACTCCGAGCACACAATTTCGGCTGTCTGGCTTCAAAATTAATATTTATGAAAGCCTAATTCAGCTGACATAGCAAATGGTGTTGAAAATAATACTATTTGTGTTGTGAAGAAAGGCATAAATTCATGTTCAATCGCAACTTAGAGGTGTGAAGCCAGACACAGATGTCCTTGAATGCTGGGATGAGCAGTTCCGACTTCAGCTGCACGTGTGCTGTGATAACTTCCCGACTCCATTCTTACTAAGAGTTCCAGAGGAAAACAAAAATAAACTGTTTTGATATAACCTCCGTGCTCAATGGAGATAATAGACTTTACTGCAAGTACAAACTTGACCCTGTCACACACTGGCATGGTAAACAGTTGGTGGTGTGTCCAGACGCATGCCTTGCCACCTTCATCTGCTCAGTATTAATGCTTCCTTACTCCAGCAAGTAATTAATTGAAGATCAATCAACATTGCCGAGGCAGCGTCTCTCTTTCCATGTGGTGAGATGTTAACTACCTCTCCTGGCTTACAGGAAGTCGTGGGTTCGATCCCGACCCTGGTGCCTGCTGTATGTTTGGAGTTTGCGTGTCCCTCTCTCTCTCCCTGTGGCCGCGTGGATTTCCCTCCGGATCCCCCGGTTGTCCCCACTCTATATGCAGAGAGTGAACACCACCACACGTCTAGAGTGAACACCGCCACGCGTCTAGAGTGAACACCGCCGAGCGCCCAAAGTGAACCCCGCCACGCGCCCAGAGTGAACACCGCCACGCATCTAGAGTGAACACCGCCACGCGCCCAGAGTGAACACCGCCACGCTGTTGAAGAGCCTCACCTTGTGTTGTGGGCAGGTCGCTTCTGAAAACAAAAGCGGTACAGCAGCTCAAGCGGGCTTGGCCTGGTAAAAAAAAGAATGAAATTAAAACTGCGTGAATATTTAAAAGTAAAACAAAGTGACAAAGTGGCGAGCCGTGTGAAGACAAATTAAACTTAAGCGGGAGAATTGAAGCAAACGCGATCAGGCGAGGGCAGGAGGCAAGGCCCCGCGTGGCTAGGCCTCGTGCTGTAAAGTTCCAACCTGGACATCGCTTCCATGCTCGCTGCTACTCAATTGACATCCTACGAGAAAGAGCGAGGCTCTACCTCGGTAAACAACAACCACCACCACCACAACAACAACCACCGCAACAACCACCACAACAACAACCACCACAACAACCACCACCACAACCATCACCACAACAACCACAACAACAACCACCACAAACCACCACAACCACCACAACAACCACCACAATCACCACCACAACAACCATCACCACAACAACCACCACCACAACCACCACCACAACAACCACCACCACAACAACCACCACAACAACCACCACAACCACAATAACCACAACAACCACCAACACCACAACCACCAACACCACAACTACCACAACCACCGCAACAACCACCACCGCAACAACCACCGCAACAACCACCACAACAACCACCACCACAACCGCCACCACAACAACCACCACAACCACCACTACAACAACCACAACAACCACCACCACCACAACAACCACCACCACAACAACCACCACAGCCACCACCACAACCACAACCACCCCAACAACAACCACCACCACAAGCACCACTAAAACCACAACAACCACCACCACTAAAACCACAACCACCACCACAACAACCACCACAACAACCACCACCACAACAACCACCACCACAACAACCACCACAACAACCACCACAACAACCACCACAACAACCACCACAACCACAATAACCACAACAACCACCAACACCACAACCACCAACACAACAACCACCACAACTACCACAACCACCACAACAACCACCACAACCATCACCACAACAACCACCACCACAACCATCACCACAACAATCACAACAACAACCACCACAAACCACCACAAACCACCACAACCACCACAACAACCACCACAATCACCACCACAACAACCATCACCACAACAACCACCACCACAACCACCACCACAACCACCACCACAACAACCACCACAACAACCACCACAACCACAATAACCACAACAACCACCAACACCACCACAACCACCAACACCACAACTACCACAACCACCGCAACAACCACCACAACAACAACCACCACAACAACCACCACAACAACCACCACCACCACCACAACCGCCACCACAACAACCACCACAACCACCACAACCACCACTACAACAACCACAACAACCACCACCACAACAACCACCACCACCACAACAACCACCACCACAACAACCACTACAGCCACCACCACAACCACAACCACCCCAACAACAACCACCACCACAAGCACCACTAAAACCACAACAACCACCACCACAACCACCACTAAAACCACCACAACAACCACCACAACAACCACCACAACAACCACCACAACAACCACCACCACAACAACCACCAACACCACAACCACCAACACAACAACCACCACAACTACCACAACCACCGCAACAACCACCACAACAACCACCGCAACAACCACCACAACAACCACCACAACAACCACCACCACAACCACAACCGCCACCACAACAACCACCACAACAACCACCACAACAACCACCACAACAACCACCACAACAACCACCATAACCACAATAACCACAACAACCACCACAACAACCACCACCACAACAACCACCACAACAACCACCACAACAACCACCATAACCACAATAACCACAACAACCACCACAACAACCACCACCACAACAACCACAACCGCGATGAGAATTTCTCACCTCGGCTTTCAGTGCACGGCGGAGCAGCAGCTTCCTGTTACTTCGTGACGTCACGCGGCAGCAGGAGTGGACATGACGTCACTTTCGGGATACAAAACTCCCCTCCCACAAAGCGCGACTCTGTAACGTGAATAAATTATGTTAATGAGGCTGGCCCATACGTGAAGGGATGGGCGTGGGTGCCGAACTCGTCGCAATAATCTCGCGACGGCTCTCGTGAATATATTATGTTAATGAACCGCCAGTCACCGGGAGTAGCTTTGCCCAAATACGGATTCTACTTGAACAGATAACGGAAGTGACCCAGGCAGGGGTGACATGACGTCCCTAGCGAGGTACACCTCCCCCTGGCGTTTCACGCCGATGAGGTAATGCTGAGTGATGGCGTCACAGAGCGGAGTTGGAGCTTAAGTTGATGTTGATTTAGATTCATTTTCCATTGCTCCCTCCCTTGGTTGTGTGAGCTGAGCAACAAGTGTGTGTGTGTACACTGTGTGTGTGTAAACTGTGTGTTAACTGTGTGTGAACACTGTGTGTGTACACTGTGTGTGCAGTGTATATACACTATGTGTGTGTGTGTACACTGTGTGTGTGTGTGTACACTGTGTGTGTGTGTGTACACTGTGTGTGTGTACACACTGTGTGTGTGTGTAACACTGTGTGTGTGTGTGTAAACTGTGTGTGTTAACTGTGTGTGAACACTGTGTGTGTACACTGTGTGTGTGCAGTGTATATACACTGTATATACACTGTATATACACTGTGTGTGTGTACACTGTGTGTACACCGTGTGTGTGTACACTGTGTGTGTGTGTACACGGTGTGTGTGTATACTGTTTGTGCACACTGTGTGTGTACACTGTGTGTGTGTACACTGTGTGTGTACACGATGTGTGTGTACACTGTGTGTGTGTGTAAACGGTGTGTGTGCACTGTGTGTACACTATTTGTGTGTACACTCAGTGTGTGTGTACACTGTGTGTGTACACTGTGTGTGTGTACACTGTGTGTGTGTACACGGTGTGTTTGTGTACACTGTGTGTGTGTTTACACTGTGTGTGTAAACTGTGTGTGTACACTGTATATACACTGTGTGTGTGTACACTGTGTGTGTGTACACTGTGTGTGTGTACACGGTGTGTGTACATGGTGTGTGTACACTGTGTGTGTGTGTACACTGTCAGTTTAACACGTAGGCTTTCGCGACCAATATTATTCATAATATAGGTTTTTGGGTTAGATCGCGTTATTTATAAATGTGTCTAACCCTCCACCACCCGACACGGTCAATCAGCAAAAAAGTGTCACGTTGACAAAAGACAATTAGTTCACTACTTTAGCCCACCGGTGTGTTAAAGAGTGAATCCACAACATTTACAGTTTGAATACGCCGTTTCGCTAGTAATTACATCCAGCATCATCGGGCAATTCGCCAGAATGGTAAAGCCCTCACTTGCTCCTGGTCTTAAATAGAGCAGCAGGGTGACGTCATCATTTAACTCATTCAGGTGCAGTGATTTGAGGCGGAGGGGGGTATTGTAATTATATAATAGATTGGTAATCAGTCAATGGTTATGATTAGTAATGAGTTGTAGATTAGTAATTAGTTGTAATGTGTGTTATTGTGATTTTATGCTACGTTAGTTATCCGTTAATTAGTATGCGTTTCCCATACAAGGAATTGTAATATGTGTTATTTAATAATACGCTTCCAAGCCGCACTAAGCCTATAGCTATCAGAGCGATTAAAGTTATTGCTGTTTCTCTCAATTTCAATGGATTCTCTAATTAGTCTTTGCCAGTAATAATTAGTTTTACACAACACTTCAACGTTATCAAAATCAATTGAGTGTCCTTGTTGACAAACATGTTCTGCCACTGCC